GAGGACACTAGGCTTTGTCCCGATGAAGTCACAAAAAATGTGCTTAATTCCTCCAGCAATGGATTTGTTTCTGTGATGATGGTGACAGAGAAGTTCATTAGAGACTTGGGATCCTTGGTTTTTCGTTGGTAGTCAGTCATGTAGGAAGCCTCTCAGGAATTTTTTATAGTTCAGTATTATGGAATCTATTTTATTTATTTTAGTTTTTTGTTACAGGGCCTGTGCGCTCACCAAAGAGAGAGACAGAGAGAAAGAGAGACTGGTAGAGAAAGTGAGAAGTCACCACCCAGGGGGACACTGGCCACACTGCAATCCCTTTTTCTCCAGTCTGCTCTTAGGATTTGGACATGTATGCACATGCGCCCCGCATGATTTTTCAATGTACTGGGTTTGAGGGTCTAATCATACTGCTGTTCATGTGAGATTCAGCACCTTATCCTCCATGCCACCTGCTGGCCCCAAATTTATTTTATTTTAAACTCATCATATTAGCAGAGGAGAAAAATTGTATGATTGCCTCCAAACATACCAAAAAACACATTTAAAAATAATTCAGCACTTGTTCACATTTAAAAAAAAAAACTCACAATAGGACAGGAATTCATGTATACTTCTTTAATATCAATATGCAATATATAATAATATATTCACACATCAAAGTTAGCATCTTACTTGGTGAAGATATGAAGGAACTTCTGTGCTCAAGTCAAGAACAAGACAAAGATATGAGTTATCGTCATTATTATTGAGCATAATGCTAACTATAGCAATCAAAAGAATTAGAAATATAATAATTTGAGGGCTGGCCCCATAGCCTGGTGGTTGAGGAAGCCAGATTCCACATGGTTGACTATATAATGTAAATGATAGTTAAAGATCTACAAACCCAAAGAAATAATTGTAAAAATACAACAGAACAAGAGGAATTCCTACCCTTGTCTTTCCTGCTTCTTTTGTGAACTTATGTAAGGGAACTTCCCAAAGTTTGTGGGGAAAAAATGGAATTAAAGTATGTATTTATTTGGGTGCAAAATTTTTGAAATCCAGTCTTTTTTTTTTTTTTTTTCCCAAAGTATACATTTTCCAAGAACTTTCTGAGGGCCTCACGTATGTTTTTTTACACTTCCAGATACTCAAGTTCAAAACTGTGGTATTATAACAACAATACTAATTTCATCTACTCTTCCATCGTCACAGTAACTCTATGCTCTTATCTAAGCAATTGCAAAATTGTAGATTTTATCCTCGATTTTATCTCCTCTTACAAGACTTCCTTTCTTTCTGCCCCACTGCCACCATCTTCAGTTACTCACTCTTCATACATAACTGAAAATGGCTGCCTCTTTAGGGATGTTACTCTTGCTTAATATGTAATTTGCTTGATATAAATTGCCAATTTCTTGTCCTGGTTATCTACTAGAGGCAGTAATTACCTTTCTAGGCTTACTTCTGTCTAATCCTTTATATAAGCATTATTTGGCTGGACCAGACTACGGAATAGGTTAGATATACTTACAGTACAATATCTTTTAGGATATTCTTCCTGGCCAGTACCATCTGCAACAATAGCATCCTTTCTCCAGCTCATTATACAATAAGAATAGTAACTTAGTACGGTTTAGGCACTGTGTTTAAGATTTTGCACATACTGCTTTGTCCCATACCACCAGATTTATTTCTTCCTCCTTTGAAGTTCATAGCACTCTAACTTTCCTTGGTTTTCATATTTGTTCCACATTTCAGATTTCTGTGTTCAGTTTATCAAGTCTACTACATTATAATCTTCATCATCTCAGAAAAAGTAGAAAGTGATTAATTCAGATCTCTGTATCACTCGTAGCACAGTGGGCATCCATAAATTATCGCTATATAGAATAAATTGTGGTTTCCTGCAAGATAAAAACTAAGGTTTGAAATTCAATTGAGGATCCTTCCTTAGTATAGTTTATCCATTTTTCATTATTTTGCCCTATTCTATTTGAGCATGGTCTTTGCCTTTTTAGTGCTGTATTCTTAAGATCTACAACAGCTTCTGGCATATGGTAGGCTTTTTAGTAACAATCCTATGTGTATGGCTGTATGAAAATGAACTGAATGGTAATAAATAATGCAAAGAAGCAAAGGCTCAGTAATAGTCAACGTAAGCCAGCATAACAGACAGACTGCCCTCATTTTCTGGTTTGTATCTATCATTTTCTAGAGTTTCTTACCCTCTTGGTTTATGATTGAAATAATTTTTAGAAAATAAATTTCAGGAGACTACTGGACGTTCTGAATCCAATTTCTATAATTACAAAAATCCCAAGGTGTGAAAGGAACATTGGTGTTAGCTGGGCGACTTTTGGACCAAACCCAGGACATTCCCACGTGGCTTTGACATCTCTTGCATTACTACTGCACTGCTGTGGCTGGGCTCCATTATTTATTAATGTATTAACTTAAAATTCTTATACACTGCGCTGTAGAGCAATCCCACAGGCATTATCTCCTTTGTTCACAAGAACCCTTTGCTCATAAGATATCCTTTCAGTTACCAGAAATACTCCTGTTAAAACGTTATTATTTAAAATTGGTAGCATGAATTCTGTCTTCTAAAATAGCATCAGCTACTCATACAACACAAAGTATTAGTAGAACCTAGAGTTAATATAGGAGGTGGAAAGGAAAGGCGTAATACTGGTTCCGTGAGTTTTAGGGACCTAGATGGCCTCATTTCGTCCCTTTCTCCAGATCTTCCAAAAAAGCTTCAAGTCCTAACTTTGACCGAGTTTGACTGACAAAAAGGATCAGGAATTCTGTTCAGTGCTGCTTCCAAACACGAGACATACGGGCAGACTGGAAACCACCTTATCTTGCTGCTGGCTTTACTTGGAAAGGAATGGCACATAAGCAATCAAGACAGACGACTTCACCGAAAACGGAGAAAACGACCTGTACCGCCTTCATCGAACCAAAGGGGCGGAGGAAGGGAAGCGAGGACGGGAGGAGGCGGGTCTTCCGTGACGAATCCCGCCCCTCCCTCGCTCGTCGCTGATTGGTGGCTACGTTGGGCCGCGTACGGAGGGGCGTGACCGCGGCTCAGTCGTTCCCTCTCAAAGCGGTCGGGCCCGCCCAGTGGGTGTGTCCCGGGAGGTGCGCGCGCGCTCGCGTCGGAGGGCCAGCTAGGGGGCGGGGCGGCGGCGACGCGCGCCCCGGGAACGCGCGCACGGCAGGCGGCGCGGGGGGCAG